ATATATCGAAGAAATATAAAAAGAAATCAATAAAATTTGGCAGAGGTATTTTCGAGCAGTATCTGATGCCCGGTATCAAATATCATTGTTATGGAGTTCATATTACGCATTTAAGGGACTTAAAGGCCAAATCGGATGGAACATATACATGAGATCTGAAGCTGTATCTGAATCGATTTTCACCCAAAATTTGAAGTACTTGCTTTCAGGTTGAATTCCGTCGGAAGTGCCAAAATTCAGTCCATTTGAACTGATATTAGCCATTTGATGCACAGAGTGCAATTTACTCTTGTGACTTTAAAACCAAATCGAATGAAACATATATATGGGAGCTATAGCTATATCTGAACCGATTTTCATCAAATTTTAAGTACTTGTTTGGGAGCTATAGCTATATCCGAACCTATTTTCTCCATGTACTTGCTTTTAGACTAATTTCGGTCGAGTTAACCAAAATTCAGGTCATTTGACTGATATTGGCTATTTGGTTCACAATTAACCCACCAATGTCAATAGGGTTCGTCCTTGGACCAAACAAATATTATTTGGAAAATTTCATCTCAATCGGATAATAAATGCGACATGCAAAAATACACAAAAATACACGGACGGACTGACATGCATAAACCGACTCCGAAAATGATTCTATGAAAACCACTGAAAGTAACCATGGATCTATATCGCTTCCTTCTCCATGTTACAAACAAATGCACAAAGACGCCACATAGTGGTAGGGGTATTAAAAATGTACTTAAACGCTACCAAATGACAAAAATTCGAAAAAATGTAGCTAATAATCTTAAATTTGGCCTGAGTACAGTGTAAAACCCGTACTAAAAAATTACTAAACATAAATATATTGCTAAATCGGCGTAAATCGTATTTTCTTATAGTAAAATGGTACCAACTGAACTAAACACGAAGAAATTCTGAAATTTGGCTAATATATTTAATGGGAAGGGGTAGAAACAGCAGATTGTACTTAAATTCACTGTTTTGTTGCGAAAATTCCGAATTTCTAAAACTTAAGTGTTAACACTTACTATGCAGAACACTATTGGTGCGGGGCGTAAGATTAGATAAAGTTCTTGGAAATTCGTACTAAAAAGTACTAAATATTTTACTGTAAATACGAACGAACGAAAAGCTTTCTAGTACAAAAACATTACAAAATAGTGCAAAAGAGTAGACCAAGAATTTTGAAATTTGACATGAGTATCAAATATATTTCTTATAAATTGAAATGTCATAATTTTGAGATTTCAAAAATTGAAATTCAGATCATAAGTTGGGAAAATTGAAATGTGAAACTCGATTGGCGTAAGACCTTCACAATGAATTCGTGAACATTGTGGATCGGAATTTTGTCAAAAATCATTTCTTAAAAAAAACTGATTTTTCTAATTATTTTTTGATCACCATGTAATTATTAGTATTTTTGAATTAAGAGTTTTATTTTTTCCAAAATTTTCCACATTGACTCCTTCATAAAACAAATTTCAAATACATGCGACTCTAGTTCTTTCCCATATGTTTCTTTTAATTCTCCCCATACGAGTTATGATTCTTATGAATATATAATTTAGTTCTTCGTGACATTTATTTTTATTTTCTTTAAACATAACTAAAACAACAATAAATACCCATTATTAGCCTTCAATCTTTCGAACACGTTTCATTTGCATACCTAGATTCATCGAACTTTAGATGAAAACGTATTAAAAACAAATTAACTTTAAGAACTTTTAATTTAATTATATATTTATGATATTCAAAATTTGGTTAATTTTATTTCACTGTATTCACTGTTCTTGAAGAACTTGACATAAATATTGGTTGATTATCACAATCATAAAAAAAAAATATTAACCAACCAAAGATTGATAATAGCTTTTGTGGTAATAGAATAAAAACATGATTTAGCATTTCTTTGTTAAAAAGAAATTGTGTGGCAGACAGCATGTCTCTAGGGGAGAATAGAATTCTAACACGGGTGTGTGTTTGTGTGTGCAAATTAAATCGTTGATGGCCCACATGATATATCTTTTGTTTTAAGAGATTTCAGTTATTTCGCAATTTATTCGATATTCTTAAGAATCAATTCTATATTAAAATATGAAAGACTTTTTTAAATTTTCACCTGGTAACATAAAAATCAATCAGCACATGGTTTTCATTTCTTTTTTTTTTAAATTTTAAAGTTGATTTTCTGGTTTAAAGTGGAATTTTTAGATAATTTTTTTAGGAATATCAAATGTAGTTTTAGTATGTTTTGTCAAACATAATACCAAACGATGAAGTTTGATGGTGTTTGTGAAATCATTTCGGGGAAGAACTTATTAGCCCGGATTGATGTTGTGGTTAATAAGTCCAAAATCATACGATTTTTGAAGAAAAATTTAAATAAGAGGCAAAGCACCGGCAAATTAATAAAAAAACTAAACTTTACTGCAAAAAATATATGACATTTTAATGTCTTTTAAGGAAGGGATGTTTTGTATTTGGAGATGTGCGCAGAATATTTGGGGAATAAAATGGACCAAAAATAGAATTTTTGCGGATTCTGCAGTTGATCTATAGGTTTCGAAGTTGCTGGGCTAGGTTATTAGATGAGTGTTCCCAAAAATCCCTTTTTCTTAATAACAGAAATATTGAGACGCACGAAATTCGAAAAAAAACGACGGCTGATTTTATTTATTTTATTATTATTATTATTGTTATTTTTTTTCTAATTTGGTTTTATTTTATATTAAAACCAACCTGTCATTCTCAACCATATCCAAGAATCACAAAATTTTGAGAAATATTTCCCAACATTTAATATAGAATATTTATAAAGAGCTTTAGACCACTTCAAGTATATAAAAGAAGTAAAAAAGTGTAAGTTCGGCCCGTCCGACCCCTCCCTCCACCTTTAGAACGAATTTAGCCATATTCAAAAAAATAAAATCCGTTAAAAATTCTGTTAAAATCTTAAAAATATCAAATGTACCCGTCATATTAGGATCTAAACGACGATGCGGGCCTGAATAGGCAATTTTTGTCATAAGCCATTACAATATTCAAATGCAAAACTTGAAAAATAATCGGTGAATAATGTAGCTAAAATCATCAATACGGGAGGTACTATTATATGGGGGCTATACCAAAATGTGGAGCTACACAGACAATTTTCTATCTTAGGCTGCAGTATCCATTACGAACTTCGAATACCAAATTTCAAACAATTCCGATGTATAATATCGCTAAAATCATCAAAATACCGAATATTGGAAGGTACCTTTATATGGGGGCTAAACGAAGACGTGGACCTCCATTATGAAGACGTGGACCTACACAGACAGTTTTACGTCTTAGGCTGTAGTATCTATTTCGAACTTTAAATACCGAATTCCGATTAATAATGTCGCTAAAATCATAAAAAAGTAGGGAGGTACCGTTATATGGGGGCTATACCAAAACATGGAACTACATGACCCATTTTCAATACCAGGAGTCCTGCAGACATAATATGCATTTGTGTAAAATTTTATCAACATACTTCATTTCGTTCGGAAACTAGAGGGATTTCCACAGACGTACGGACATCGGTAAATCGAATTAGAATTTTATGCTGATTATGAATATACATTCTTTGGAGGTCTACGACAAATAGTTAGGGATGTTACAAACGGAATGACCTCCTTTTCAAGGTGGTGGGTATAAAAAGCAGCTAGGTTGGGCTGGGCCGAACTTTAATTACCCTCCACTATTAGAATGAAACTTGCAAAATGTTAAAAAAGTTGAAATATTCCTATAGTTTTAAAAATTCCGAATATCAGGTATTACGTTTATATGGAGCTATACGAAAACGTGGACATTTACAGCCGAATTATCTGCCTGAAGTGCCTCCAAACGCCAAGTATAGGATAATGCTGTTGAAAAAATACATCCCCCTATTTAGAATTGTTTCACAGTATACTATTTTAAGTTCTACAACCTAGATCATTCCTTGGCACTCTCCAACTTTTTTCCATAATACTGAAAAAAAATGTTTAGATTACGAAAAAATTGATTTCAGCATCATATACCTGAATTTGTAGATCCCATTAGTGTTTCAAAATGTCAATTTAACCTTTATATGGAAGATATACCAAAGATTTCATTTTTTGATCAGGTATAAAGGTATATAGGAAGGTATATATTGCATTCCGAATCCAAAATGTCTGTTAAAAATGTTTTCCGAAAGCTTGAAAAATTCCTCAAATCGAGAGTAAGGTTCAATGGGAGCTATATCAAAAACATGTTTAATTTTGTCTATTTTGGCACAACAACAATCATCAAAATACCGAATATCGGGGGTACCGTTATATGGGGCTAATACCGAATATCGTGGACCGATATAGCTCATCTTCGATCTTGACCTGTCTGCAGATAAAATACTGATTTATGCAAAATGTTAGCTTCCTTTCTTTACTCGTTTTGACTCTAGCGGGATTACAACAGACGGACAGGGCTAAATCGCCGTAGAATTTTACGTTGATCAAGAATATAAATACTTTGTTATGCCTAAAATTATTACTTCGATAAATTACAAACGGAATGACGAACTTAATATACCCTCCATACTATGTAAGGCGGAGGGTATGAAAAGCCTATTTACCTGTCATCTGCTTTTAGCTTTTTTTATAATCTGCTGAGCTTTTCCGGTATTTTATTAGTTTTTTAGTATGGGACATTTTTTCAAAGAACGCACATTGCAACATTAGTTTTAATATCCTGAAATGGATTTCTTCCAGAAAAACATGGCGTCTATAAAAACATATATATCTCTAGCCATAATTCTGAGGGTATAATAAAATTTTATTGTAAATTGCGTTTATATGTACTAGGCCCTTTGGTAAATCCTAAAATTTAAAATCTCTCCAAAACATCCAACTTTAACTGAATAGGTGATTTCAATTATGGACAATTAACTTATCCCCATTTAGTTAAAAAAGAATATGAAAAATACAACTTACCCTTCATATCCTGCCAAATTACTGGCAACAGCTGTACTCAGCACAGCCATGGCAATGGCTAGAATTAATTGAAACCGCATTTTGAATTTATTGCTGTTGACACTGAGCATGGATGGATTGGGAGTCAGGGAGTGGGTGTTTGGATTTAATTACAACTTATTAAAGTTAAACACAATTTACACAAATAATTATTTGTAATTTGGTTTAAAAAAAATACAAATAATTTATTTATTTGTTTAATTGGTGACTTTTGTTTTTCTGTTGTTGTTGTTGTTTTTGTTTCTCTTTTTTATGCAACTCGTGATTTACACTGAATATCGTTAAATGTTTGTTTTTAACACTATTTTGCCAATCGCATGCATTATTCAACTAAAACGAATGAATGAAAAAAAAACGTCCAAGGCGGTAACACATCGCCAACACTGTTTGGATATCTGGAACTGAGCTGCTTCGAGTAGATTAACGCAGTTTATGGTATTAGCCGTACTTTGTACGTACAAAATTCAGTCTTTAAAACTCAATCGTTTCAGGTGGGAAGAGAGTGAGAGTGATGGTACGGAGGACGGAGAGCAAGAGGGCATTTGTCTAAATATTTATAAACACTGCATCCAAGATGAGTTAATGTTTCTTGGCCAAAAGCTGGGTAATGCGGGGTTTCAGTTAATTTATGTAATTTCATTAAGTTTTAATTATTTTGTTACTTTTTCCCGCTTACACTATTGTTATTTTTATATATTTTTTTCAAAATATTGTTTTTTATTTGAAACACAAGTTTTGTTGGTTATTGATTTTTATTTCATTTTTTTTCCTTCTGATCTTAAGCTGTATTTAGCGATTAACGTCCGATACGCTTAGGTTAACGCGACAGACTGACAATCATGCAAAACTTAAACTTAGAAGGAAGACGTTACCAAAATATCTGCAAGATTTCAAATAATAATGAGATGAGAAACACAACAACAGCGCCAGCAGCGGCAACAACACCAACAGCAATTAAATCGAATCAAATAAATTTCGACCAAATGAAAAGAAAAAACCGTAATTCATATACAAATTTTTGTTTTGGTTTTCTTATCTAGTTTTTTTTTCATTTTTATTTTTTGAAAAGTATGATTTGTCGTTTTTTTTTTTCAAACTAGACAAGTAACTGTGTGAGTGTGATTGTGTGTGTGTGTGTGATTTTGGTTTTCTAACATTCGTTCGTAGGTACACTGTCTTTGAGTGGATATTAAGTGGTGAGTGTCAAGGTTAAGCGACCAAATGAGACATCAGAGCTTCCAATGTGAAACATTATACCCAATGATCGCCCCACCTGACTGGCTGACGGACTGACTGATTAACTACCCAACTACTAATGAACGTCACAGCATGCCGAATAGAAATTCCAATGATTTACACAAATGTAAAGAAAAAACCTGCATCTTGTGGCTTCGAAATGTTTCAAATTTCAAATTTTCAATGACCGTTAAGGGAAATATTGCAAAATTGATATGGCTCCACTGTTTTTTCTGTTTTTCTATTTTGTCACCATAAATTGCTGTCAATGTATTTGTCTGTGTCAGGGTTAAGAACAATAAACAAATATGAAATTGATGTAGTGATTTACCTATGATATGATCAGAACTACATGTCTGTTCAATTAAATAGATGACAATCTTTACGGCCCCTACGGGAATTTGTGGAAAGAAAAGTGAAATAACTAACCAGACGAAAAGAGTACGAAAAGTATTAAACTATACTAACAATTTAATACTGCGTATTGTACAAACGGAATATTCTGAAATTTAAAAAAGAGGAACTGATCGAGTGCAGGATAGATGTACTGAATGGTTTTGTGGAAATTCGAATTTTAAAGCTCCGAAAAATTCTAAAGTGGTACTAAACTTCTAAATGGTACTATTTTGTATTTTGTGAACAAATAGAGCTAAAAACCTGATATTTGGTATAAGAAAGTAAGTTCGGTATACGAAGGTGGTTTTGGAAATGTGTACTAAATGTGCGAATGTGTGTGTGTGGAACAGTTTGGTTTAGGCTGAACGGTTTTTTTTTTTTTTTTGAATTTTGTATTGGGTCCCTGTTGTTATTACGTTTGTGATAAGAAGGCGGTTTCCGAAATGTGTACAACAAGTGTACGAAAACTAGTAAATAGTACTATATTTGGTATAATTAGACGTTAGGTGAACAGAAATCTGAAATTTGGTATTGGGGGGTAGCCTGGACATATAGGGGTGATTTTAGTAATATGTATTATAATTGTACGAAAAATGCTATATAGTACAATATTTGGTACAATTTGGTATTAGGTAAAAATATAGTGCTTGAAATCGCAAATTTGGTATTAGGGTCGCTGTTCAATGATATAGCAGGGACATTTGGAGATAGTTTTGAAAATGTGTATTATTGTACGAAAAGTACTATATTTGGTACAATTAAGGATTGGGTGAACAGATAGTGCTTGAAATCTTAAATTTGGTATAACGGTCACAGTCCATTTGTAGGCTGGATATATGGAGATGGTTTTGGAACTGTGTATGTGTACGAAAAGTACTATATTTGGTACTTGGTATTGATTGGCTTAAAATCTGAAATTTGGTCCATTTATAGGTTGGAAATGTGTATTGTAATTGTACGAAAAGTACTAAATAGTACATTAATTGATACAATTAGGTATTGGATGAATAGAAAGTGTTTGAGATCGCAAATTTGGTATAAGGGTCACAGTCCATTTGTAGGCTGGATATATGGATATGGTTTTGGAACTGTGTATGTGTACGAAAAGAACTAAATAGTACTATATTTGGTACAATTAGGTATTGATTGGCTTAAAATCTGAAATTTGGTTCATTTGTAGGCGGCAAATGTGTATTGTAATTGTACGAAAAGTACTAAATAGTACAATAATTGGTACAATTTGGTATTGAATGAATAGAGAGTGTTTGAGATCGCAAATTTGCTATTAGCGTCGCCGTTTATATGTAGCCTGGACATACGGAAGTGATTTTGGAAATGTGAATTAGAATTGCACGAAAAGCACTAAATGGTAATTAATTTGGTCTTGGTTGAAGGGATAGAGATAAAATTCGGAAATTTGATATTTAGATAACTGTTGATATCTGAAGTTGAGATTTGGAGGTGGTTTTGGGTATTGGGTTAACATATGAAGGGGATTTTGTGAAATGTGTACCGTAACTAAGTAAAATACAATTTGGTACTATTTTTGGTATTGGGTGAATGAATGGAGCTGAAATTCTGGCAATTTTCAAAAAAAAAAATCGTTAAATTATTTAGGGTCTAAACGACGACGGACCTGCATAGGCAACTTTAATCATAAGCCATTACAATATACAAATGCGAAACTTAAAAAAAGGTGAATAATGTAGCTAAAATCATCGATATAGGGAGGTACTACTATTTGGGGGCTATACCAAAATGTGGACCTGCACAGACAATTTTCTGTTTTAGGCTGTACTATCCATTACGAACCTCAAATACCAAATTTCAAACAATTCCGATGAATAATGTGGCTAAAATCATCCAAATACCGAATATCGGGAGGTACCGTTATATGGGGGCTATACCAAAACGTAGACCTACCTAGCCCCTTTTCAATACCAAAAGTCCTGCATATATAACATACATTTCAGAAAAATTTTATCAATCTACTTCAATTCGTTCCGAAGCTAGAGTGATTTCTACAGACGGACAGACGGACTGACGTCGCTATAATAATAAATAGAATTTTATGCTGATCAAGAATATATATACTTTGTGGGGTCTAAAATGTATATTTCGAGGTGTTACAAACAGAATGATAAACTTAATATACCCTCCATACTATGGTGGAGGGTATAAAAATAATTAAGAAATGAAGTTCAAAAATGCACTCGTTCTCTTTTTAGAACAATTAAATTGAACTTCAGTTTAATTTCAACACACTTACATTCAACCTGGTGTTCAAGCCGTTTTAGAGTAGTGCCATATTTTTATACACATGTGTAACTAGTTGAGATATTATTAGATTCCGGTTGTCATTCGATTATTGAACTTTAAATGTCGTTGTATGTCTGCCACTTTGTCAGACTGTCAACACATTCAATTAATGGCCACACACATATTTTATTATACTCTATTCTCAGTTCCAGGGTATATTCATTATTTGATTATCTCTAAGAATGTAAGGCAAGTATGTGAGAGTGCCCACTACTCTTAGAAATCGAAGAGAATAAATTTTTAATAATAATTTTTTGTGGTACGTGGCTGATGACTACCGATGCTGTTTCTGACGTTTTTAATGGGATTTTCAAAACTTGTTTATATGTTTAATTAAAAACCCTATTATCGAATATCGATTTTCAAGAATTGTTGCTTTCCAAAAAAAGCGAAGCAAAAACGAATGATACATTTAAGCAAACCGAAAATAACAACAAATTTACATTTCAAATCGCATCCGCCTGTCATAGATCTAGCCGAATGTTTTTTTTTTTTCGATTTTTAATTTTTTATTTCAAAATAGAAAACTTGTTCCGAAATTGATACTTGCAAGAATTCTAACTAGAGATTCTTTCGCTTTTAGGATTATTAATTGCTGGAGCATTTTAAGAGGATTGTTATTTAACCGCCAGCAGAACAGAAAGACACAAAAAAAAAAAACAAAATAAACAATTTATGGCCAGTTAGATGGGAAGGTACTGCTATTTTGATGTTTCTGTCATGTAGAGTGATATTTGAGATATTATGAGTTTGTCATGTTGTTGGTGACGCTTCAATATGAAAAACAAACAAGGATGAACTCCATCATCCTTACTGGATTTATAATAGAAGGAAATATTTTCTGTAGATATTTGCACACAGATTCCACATAGGTCTTCTATGCTTAAAAGAGCTTTAATCGTTCCTCTGAAATATTTTTTAAAATATCCGCGTTTAGAGCTTTATTAGTCCCTCAAAAATTCAGAGCTTAAATAGCCCCTCGAAAATATTCCTTAAAATATCCACGTTCATAAAAAAATCCACATTCAAAGCTTAAATAGTCCTTGAAAAATATTTTTTAAAAATTCACGTTTAAAGCTTTAATAGTCCTTGAAAAATATTTTTTAAAAATTCACGTTTAAAGCTTTAATATTCCTTGAAAATATTTTTTACAAAATCCACATTTAAAAAAAAAAATTAAATATTTTCGAAGGGCCACTAATGCTCTAAACGTGGATTTTTTTATAGAATCCAGGTTTGTAGCTTTAGTGGTCCTCCGAAAATATTCTTTAAAAAATCCACGTTTAGAGCTTTAATAGTCCTCCGAAAATATTCTTTAAAAAATCCACGTTTGGAGCTTTAGTGGTTCTCCGAAAATATGCTTTAAAAAATCCACGTTTGGAGCTTTAGTGGTTCTCCGAAAATATGCTTTAAAAAATCCACGTTTAGAGCTTTAATAGTCCTCCGAAAATATTCTTTAAAAAATCCACGTTTAGAGCTTTAATAGTCCTCCGAAAATATTCTTTAAAAAATCCACGTTTAGAGCTTTAATAGTCCTCCGAAGATATTCTTTAAAAAATCCACGTTTGGAGCTTTAGGGGTCCTCCGAAAATATTCTTTAAAAAATGCACGTTTGTAGTTTTAGTTGTCCTCCGAAAATATTCTTTAAAAATGCACGTTTGTAGTTTTAGTTGTCCTCCGAAAATATTCTTTAAAAATGCACGTTTGTAGTTTTAGTTGTCCTCCGAAAATATTCTTTAAAAAATCCACGTTTAGAGCTTTAGTGGTCCTCCGAAAATATTCTTTAAAAAATCCACGTTTAGAGTTTTTCAGTAGTCCTTCAAAAATATTCTTTAAAAAATCCACGTATAGAGATTTAGTGGTCCTCATAAAAAAATATTCTTTAAAAAATCCATGTTCAAAGCTTTAATAGTCCCTCTAAATTTTTTTTTTAAAAAATTAAAATTTTTTAGACGTCCTCCAAAGATTTTCTTTAAAAAATCAATGTTTAGAGCTTTAAAAGTCCTTGACAAATATTCTTTAAAAATTCACGTTTTAAGCCTTAATAGTCCTTGAAAATTATACTTTAAAAAAGAGAG